AAACCACAGAAACAAGTATATACATGTAGATAAACATATGTATGTATATTTAAACGGATATACTTATATAGAATATATATAAATACATATGTATATGCAAACATACAAACACAGAAAGAATAGGAAGCAAACAAAAAAAAATAATTATATACAAAAAAAAATTAATGTTAAGCGCATAAACGTGAGCGAGCGATAAAAAAAATAAATAAATTATGTTACACTAACAACAAAAAGTATACACACATACAAACAAACATATAGTGGTGCATAGTTAGCTAGAGTGGTTAGTAGATTATGTAGACACACCTGCATAAATGCATACAAACATACTTACATGAATGTTCAAAGTCATATGCGCCAAAAAACACATAAATACATACAGACATACATATATTCATACATATATATGAACTCACAGAAAGTCATAGGATCTTTATGTCATTGTTGTGTAGAAATGTATGCAGGTAAATTATATACGCAGCCACAGCCATAAATTCATACATAGAAAACGAACCTATACATATTTATTGAAAGTTGTACGAATGTAGTTAAATAAAATTGAAGAAAATATATACATATGTATATAAATAATTGTCAGAATTAAAGCAAACTGCAAAAAGAATTTGAAAGTAATTTGCGTTGGTAATTCGCAAGTCTAATGATTTTTCGATTTCTCATAAAAAAAAAAATAAAAATATAAAAAAAGATACACTTTTCATTTTTTGAGCCTTTCACTTAGTGAAATTTAGCTTGTAGCTTAATATAGTCGTCATATACACGTACCACTTAAATTCATGTAAGCATGCAAGTGTATAAAATTATTTGAAAACTTGTACTTAGTACCTACGTATATATGTTTTGCACATTTTAGCCGAAATTTTTTTGGAAGTGACGTTTTCTAACTGTAAATTGCTTGCTTGCCTACGTTGTGTATGTACGTTATGTAAATTGGTAGTTTTTAGTTTTCTTACTACGCTGAATCGAGCAAAAAAAAGGTAAATTTAAACATTTTTAAACTATTTTTTAAATAAATACGAGTGCATACTTTCAAAAAATTTGTTATATGTATGTACGAGTAGAGTTGTCAAACGAGTTTTATTATATACATACACACATACATACATAGATAAATAATATTTTTCAAACCATTTTGCTTAACACATTCCGTATAAGCCGAATAACCTCGAATTAGTTACTTACATAGATAAAGAAATACATAAATAAATATAAAAAATTAATAAATTGGAGTTTTATTTAATAGGCAAAAAGAGGTTAGTATGAAAATACAGACAGAAGCGTTACTTATATTTTGAAACAAATACAAAAGAAATATGAAAATCAAACAAGCAAACTATGAAATTTTAAATAAATATTTACTAGGTGGTAACCCTCATAATAATGCTTAAATCTTTTTATTTATTGCGAAATTCGTCTACTGCTGGAAACACAAAATAAAAAACAAAACTTTTGCAACGATTCGTATGAATAAAAAAGATTTTCCGTACGTTTCCAAGGCAATTAAAAACTGCGTATAATTTTCGTCACGAAATTGATATCATAAATTTTGTGTTTCTAGTTCAGCTTTCGTCATTCGAAAATTTTACCCCAAAGAGGTGTTTTATTTGATTTACTATACAGCTGGCAATTGTATTAAAGAAAAAAGAATGTGCGGAGCAAAGTTTTATGACACACATTCATTTGACATGATTTAATTCAATTTTTTTTCATAGACTTATTGTAGGTCATAT